ATGAGCAGAAGATTTAGAATTCGGAATTATTTGGTTATAATATATAGGTGAACGCAGGCTTAACGTAATTAGAAATAGCAAATACATGATAATAAGTCACTTATTATAGCACCATGACATATTGCGTAAACCACAATATTCTTAGAGTGTAACCACAACGAGTCAAAATAATATTGGTCAATGGAAACTGTCATCAAATTATAACTATCAAACTAATCAAAAATATCAGTATGTCTATTTCATGAGGACAACATAATTTCTTATTATAAATACAACCTATCAAGTGATCGACGATTATAAAGTTTTTCATTTAATGCACCAAAAACAATATGTTTGGTAGTTGGGTTGGATGGTGGCTAAAAGTTGAATCCCAGACACTCATATCATCCCATTCGGATCTAGCTATTTGAATGAACTTACATCTTAATAATGATGTCCAAATTCGAACTTGAGTCCAATTCCTCTTATTTCAAACCACAATAGGTTTGAGAGTGTGCTTAAACATGAATTCCAGTGTATTATGGTAGTTTTGATCATTTTCAATGTTGATGTCTGACTGTAATCTCTATAAATTAATTATTATACCTTCAAAAATGTGAAACTTTTCAATACTTATAAGTCGCAAAGAGGAGAAGTTAGAAATTTCAAAGAAAGTAAATTTTCAATAACTTAATTCTATGCATTCATCACGCTCAATGTTAATGTTGAAGTCCTTCAGTTTGGTTACGATTAAGTGGACCAATTTTTAGTTTCATAAATATAAACAATATATGACATAGATGAATTATTAAATAACTAGTACAAACACGCATTATTACCACAGTTTTATAATTGAATTATACAGTTCACTCCGTTTATAAAGTAATTCATGATACTAATATTTTTTAAAAGGCTTATTCTAAGTACAGAATTGATTAACAAACTAAATCCAAGTGATTTTTGGCCGTAAAACATTTTTAAATATAGATTGGATTAAATACATTTTTGTTAAATAGTTATGCAATAACCAGATTATTGTTTTTGTATTTTCATTCCTCAAATCATGGTTAATTAATCATTTGCGTTTTACTCTGTTCCATAACACTACTTATAATCACCTACTGATCATTAATGGTGTTCTGATGATTATTGTATACAAACCTATGAGTATTTTAATCATGATGATTGACAATAATAGAAGGTTTTATTTGTCGGTTCTGTTTCAACTTATGAACGGCTACTAAGGCTTAAAGAGTGCTACTTTCCGAACTAATATTAGTGAGATTATTCATCTTTGTTGTTTAAGACTAATTATTGCTAATCAAATTATTTTACTAATTAAAATGGATGTCATTTGTCTAATAAGCATAAAGTGTACACATCATTAATAACCCCTATAAACAAACAGCCTGATAACGTGAGCCACAAGAGTGACAATGTTTCATAATACATAAAGATGCACATGTTGATTTATGTATGTACAATTACCAAGCCGAAGATATTTGATTTTCTACTTTTTACTTTTAATTAAATACAATACTCTAAATAATTATTTACGATTATTATTTACTTATTTATTTTTCATTTTATGTGTACAAATTAATCAACAAAAACCATATGAGTTGAAAAGGTAAATCACAAAATTTCTACATGTTTGCAGAAATGAGTAATAATAATAATAATAATGAGAAAATTGACCTGATTAACAAGAAGTCACACATAACTAATTATTTGTGTATCCAGAAGGTTTTTGTTCACATGCACACATTGACCTGTGAATGTTCTAGAGTTTCACAATAGAAATTAATCCTTTCATTCTTTATTTATTGTAATTGACCTCATAATATAAATATCATTATTACTCTCTTAACTAATAGAAAAATGTAATATTTTCCTGTTCCATTTATAGCAAATAAATAAAACTTAAATATCATAGTGTACATCGCGAGCTGACCTTATTTAGATAGTTAATGAACAATTATTTCACCTTAAAATAAGACTACTTAGCAATTCACCTCCACGACACAACCAGTAAAAAAATCCAAAGTTTTGAAGTCTCACAACGTATGCTAAAACTATTGAGCTGGCATAGAGTGGTTTACATGTCTAACTCTAATTAATTCATGATCCTACGATTGCTGATATTCGTCTCACTCCTCAAACGGTCATGGATTCCACTAGAGTTATATCACGAAGTTAGTCATTGGTAAGCATACTGAGGTTATGATCATAGAATACTATGGAAAGTGCTAAACGTCCATAGTTTATATCACGAACCGATGTGAAACTAGAATTAACAATAAAACTCCTCAAATACTTTTTGACGCGATCGGTTTTTTCTTTTCTTATAACGAAGTAATTTTGATATTTTCTAACAGCTGATATGTTTTCCTGTATATTCAACCAGACCAACTTAAGTAAAACTGGAATCAATGATCAATAGTCCTACATACAACTAGTATTAAACATTGAATCACATTGAAATTTACTGGAAATTTAGTATATTGTTTAACACAGATTGTTATTGATGTAAAGTTAGTTTGTTAGTATGAACTCGTTTCGTTTTAATTTATTCCATTTATATTCCACCTAGTTCTATATCGTATTCTATAAACTTTATTGGTACATGAGTGGCAGAAATAACATTAGTGTTGAAACTCAATTGTAATCGAGAAATCAATACAATTCAGAGAAAAGTGACTAAAGTTATACAGTTGTATTTATGGCTTATTAATGTACATATGCATGCAGTATGATAACTTTACAAATATAAACAGTTTTACAATATGAAATAATTATAAATATGGTGTACATTAAAGTCAGTAACATCATATTAAATGCTTACCGAATTAGATTACAACGTTACTAAATATTTCATAAGAAGGTGAAATAAACTTACACCAACCATTCATATTTTACTTTTCATATTTAAATTCATCATTACTGACTAACAGATAGTCATTCTATTCCTAAAGTTCAAACCTAGGTTTCTAACTACCGAAATTCGATTTATGTCTGATCTTATTAACTATTACCCTTGCACACTGATAATCGGCCGAAAAATTCGGACGTAATGCCTCCTCACGGAGCTGCTTGATAGTAGAGGCGACCTTGTCAGCCAATCTAATCGATTGATGAACCTGCGATGCCGTGATTCTTCACAAAATCACATTCATGCGGTGGGTTTGTGAGCCTTTAAAACAAGGGATCCATTCCAAAAAGACCTACATAGGCCTCCCCAGAAAAGGCTTGACCAAACAATCTGACTGGAACACCACCACATTAATACTCATATGTAAACATTTTTTAAAAAGTATGACTGTTTATTTCCTGTATATAGAATTCTGTAAAATCATTCAGTTCATTATACCAAAACGTTTGTGTTCAATACGCTTCATAGATTACAATAAACAAATAAATGGACTCGTTACGTAACTTTTGGTTCATTTGTAAAATATGCAGGCTGTTACAAAATCCAAAAATCAACAACCATCGGTTCGTCTTTGAACTATATTTCCATTTTTGATTATTGATAGTCATTCTAGTTTGATTGAATATTTCTTTTATGTGATTAATACAATGAATTTATATATATAACTTTAGTCTGTTCAATATTATATTAAATTGACAACTAAAGAGAATGAAATCAAACATTCATGTATGGTAAAAGACATGTGTTTACTCATTTACAATGCACATTTTAAAACATATTGGGTATTATTAAATATTCGACTGTCCAGATCGCATTTATGATCAGACAAATCAAGTAGTAAGTTGGCTGATGATATTTGATTCCATATAGTGATCAGTGCTTATAGATAAGCTATTGGAATATTCAAGCTTTGGTTCACTTTCCCAATGTAACTGGATAGAACTAATGAAATCTTTTTACAAATTATACCGTTTCTTCTCAATTTCTATTTGCATATACGATAACGACATGAATAAACTACCTATCATACAAAATTTAGAAAACTTAAAATGGTACCATTAAATTTCGTTATTCAAAATCAGCTGATATTTTCATATATGTAAGCATCTTTCAACAACTGTCTACATAGCATGTGAATGATTAAGTTTATTTTTTCTATTTGTGACTCCCTTCTATTATTTCATAAGTGTCATTCCATCTAAGTTTGATATCTCATCATTGAATCTACGGACTTTGCCGATAGAATTACTCATAACCAAGAATTTGTAGCCGTTCAATTTTATCAATCTGTACTAAGGCTGTTTGTTTTACTAATTATTATTAAATAGAATACAAGTCATTGCGGGATGTAATTCAATTTAGAATGGCTTAAATTAACCTAATGTTGATCTTCTTGACTGAAATTTGATCAATCTTGGTTAATATATGAGAGTCCTAAACAAACTATCTCGATATGTGCGACAAATCCCAAATATAAGGAATCTCACATCTTGCACAAGTGAGCGGATATCTCGACTAAGTAGCTAAATGGATAATACAACGGCGTTTAAAACGAACGACATTAGGTGCTAATCCCAGAGTGAAAATCAACCATAGGACTCAGATACATCCACCCTATGAGTCCGAAATTGAACGAAGTGCGCATCGTGGATACCAATGCTAGCCATATTCCATCTATTCGTTTAACGAAATCCTAAACCATTTTTGCTTAGATTAGTTCATCGTTCATTATACAGGTCCTGCTTTAGCAATCTGATAACAAGGTGAAATTTTTTAGGCATGAATGTATAGGTGTCTGTTCAAATAAACATGATTCAGTAGAAAATGTCATTATGTGAAGGTGGTTCCGAAGTTTGAAAACAGAAAAATATGAAAATAAAGAGTACCGATTCGTAACCGCAGTAAGAATAAAATATTATATTAATGCTAATAAATTCAACTAACGAGTTTCTTAGGTGGGAAAGCAATGTATATCTTCATATAGTCTATAATATCTACAATTAAAAATGACATATTAAAGTTGATGATTTTAAAAAAGGGAAACAGTAACACATACTTTATTGATATCATAAAAATGTTAAGTACTCACCTATTTGATACTTGAGCAGCGGTCAACCTGATAAATGCATTCCGTATTCGTTGCATACTAACAAGCACTTGAGCGAATGGTGTCACAATCACACCTTCAACAGATGAATCTGGTAAGACTCCAGTTATTCCATTTGTACTTGATGAACTGGTACTAGTTGCAACAGTTGCGCCACCTGTACTAGATCGACCCAATCTAACAATCATCGATCCTCTACGTATAGGAATTTTTTTGTTGATTAATTGTGATTCAAATGAATTATTTTTAATCGAATGTAAACCATTTGATGTTGATGTATTTGGATCAGTTGATGTACATGGTAAAAAAAATGTAGGAGAATTATGATGATTACAATGAGAATAAGTATGATTATTCGTTGTGAAATGTATATTGGAAACAGATCGCCTAAACAACTGATTAAATGGCCTAGTGCCTTCCTCATCTTTTTCAATTCTGTGTACAAAAGATTCTAATTGTTTACCTGGACGCATTATTACAGATGAACTAGTTATATTAGACAACGTGAGGGGGGTCAGACTATTATCTTTTGATCCATGAGTATTGCCATTATTTCTATCGCTGGTACCAGCAGTAATGGTAGAAGTAGTAGTGATATTTACAGTGTTTTTATTCATCGGATTAATCTGTGATGAATGCTGACTATATTTACCGTTAGATTCAGATTGATATAAAGTTATTTTACCAAAATCTGAAGTTGTAATGCTATTAATGGAAGTAGTAGATATGGTAGGCACATCAGTTGTTGTTGTTGTAGTGTTAGTAGTAGTTACTGTTATCATCATGCTTCTATGATCACTACTGTCTACCATATTCTGAGTATCCAATTGATAATCTCTACTGCTGGTCATAGAAGTGGTCAAATGATCACATTTTGAATTTACATCATAATTATTTTCTACATGTTTTGTATTTGAAGAATTCACTAATAATAAAGACCGATTATGTTCTGAATTTGTTGAAGGATACTTAACTGTTTTCAATTTCGAAGTATTCTTCTGATTTAACTTCGGTTGAGGATGATGATGATCACTACATTTTATACAGCTTATAGTACAACATTTCTTCCACATGACGCCTTATATTGTCATAATTGTTTGATGAAATTGTAGACCATTTACTGATATAAACTGATGATACATTACGATAAACATGAACAATGTATTAATCACTTCCTTTTATAAGTCATCATAAAAATAGTATGTAAACATTAGGTGTGATAATTTTCAATGCACAAATCAATAACTATAAAAATACTTCCATCACCATTTCATTTCAATATGTGTTATGTTTGTCAATGATAACAATAGTAGTGTTGTTTTAATTAGTTTTACAGAAATGAAGCAAGTTAGAAACTAAATTTTATGCTGGATAATAAGTAGTATGTAACAAATATTTATAAACAATTACACATAGGAATATATATATATATATATATATATATATATATATATATATCTACGAATGGGTTTTCATGTTTCTATGTCATACTGTGCATGTCTGTGTTGATGCATATATACTCTTCATTCGTTTGTTTATTAAAAGTTCACAAGATATATATATATATATATATATCAGTTATAGTCGAGAAGTGGATTGATTATACAATATATAGTGTAACATTGATGAAATTTACAAATATGGAATAAAATAAACATAATATTTCAATATTGTCTAAGTTCATTATCTAAGGACAGGTATAATGAATGTTTAAAATCAATGGTTCATTTATTTCGGTTGATTGTCTATCTGACGATCAGTATTCCTTTTAAATAATAATGATAAGATTAGTTATGATTAGTTCCATATTGGTAAGCGGGGACCGAGGCAATTATCCATATAAGATACAAGATGAGATGGATTTTACGAAGAAATGTTTTTTGTATTTAAAAATTTAAGTTATTGGACATTGATTCATTGGTTTTAAAATATATTCACCTCATTCAAACTAATTATCGATTGTATAACAATGTGTTTATAGTACCAAGATGTTTGAAAATGAAATGAAGTAAAAGTCATGAGTCTTCTCATTATTAATTTAATTCATCAGTTATGATGACTTAGTGATAAAACTGTTTATTATTATTTGTTCTAAGTTTTACGTAAGGTGTGATAATGATATCATACTAAAATTATTATTTACATATTTACTATAATATTAACACTACTAAATATACTATTAACATATCTGGGCCACCTGTTTCTGCCATTTAGGTATTTCAACAAGTCATCTTTGTTTGTCTTAACGCATCATTATGTCTATTAATTGCAAAATCCATTCAAGTGCGTTTATGAAAAGTTTACGACTTATCGCTGTACAAATTACAAAGAAGTACAACATCGTAGTGGCTGGCAATATGAACCGAAAAGGATGAACATTATTCAGATGTCCATTCCTGAACTGCTGACTTACAACTTGAGATCACTCAGTATTTATCTTCAGGATCAATCAAGAAATAAGAAAAGGAAACTTGTTGAGATACTTTGTGCTGAGAATTCTATATTGTACCAAGAATATAATATTGAATAAAGCCATTAATAATAATATATGAATTTAAGGTGTTTTTGAATACGTAATGCAGCTATAAATTGTAGATCATTTTGTCAGTGAAAAATTGATTTCATAATATCATAATAAACTATGAAATATCAATTCTTTTCAATAATGACTGTTGAATTAAAACATGTAATCTTTGTTTCCTTTTTCTCTACATCTTAACTGTCAAAAGCTGAAGGATCACTGGAAAGCTCTTTTATTGTAGTTTTCAACTCCTTCACATTTCAAATTGTGACTCATTAGCCGAAGAAATGTACAATGATGGACCATGTTATACTTGTGATTAAAAATCATAAGCTATCTATCACAAAATTAACTTTAATAATAAAGATTTATTGTCTATATTATTCCGTAACTTTTAACGTTGATGATTATTCCATACGGTTTATCTCTCGAATTGACTGACTATTTATGAAGTATATCTTCTATTTTTGGTTGTTCACTAACTTTAATGATACTATATGCTTAAATCTTCTAACTTCCATATAGTTTAAACATTTTGCGATTGTGAAATGAAGTGAGATTAACTAGAATAATATGTATGTGTTCTTGGAGTGATCTTGAAACTTATAGTGTCACTGGATACTTTTTTACCATTTACCTCTTTTTTTACTAATCTTGTTTATTTCTTGCTTTGAGTTTATTGAACCGTTATTTATGAATTTATTGCACATATATGTTTTCAACTTTCCTATTTCGACAACTTGATTGATACAATATTTTTCCACATAAAAACTTATCGCTTATTTATTGGATAAATAGACTATAGAACTCAATCAAACACTGATCTTAGTGGACACTTGCTGGCAATAAATCCAATAGTAATGATTAAACATCTGTACCAAGAACGACAATCTAACTCCCTTGACAATTTACATATTTTCACCCATTAAAAGAATGTAAATAGTTATAACAATGAATGGTTGTTATGCTTGATTATCTTTTTTTATAGATAGTACATAATAACCAGCTAAATTATGCATAATTTATGCGTTTTGTTTGTCAAATTTACTGTGGACTTTTATTTTATTTTTTCTAAAGTTTTGTTTTTCTGGCTTTTTCCAATAAAGCATGTTTTTTTTCGTCATGAATAGTCATTATAAATTAATAAGCCAGACATTTTGCATAAAGCATATAATTATGATAATTCACTATTTCGTAAGTTCAATAGATTTGTATTTTACCGAGCCATATATCAATAGAATGTACTGTCGGTTTATTATTGGGTCCTTTACTGATCATGCATAGAAATTAACAGTGAACAAATCAAGATATGATTATGATTATATGAATATTATATAAGTTTACAAAATTATTTCAATTTAGAATGTATTATTTTTGAATGTGTTCCACTGATCAGTAAATCCACTGTTTAAGAGCTGACCAGTGTGCACAGTTACATTCAAATATACAATTCGAAACTCTATATCTGTTAGATAAATTGTTATAATCCAGTTGGTACTCTAATGTTTTGAAATTCGTGATTTCAGTTTGTTTCTCAAAAAGTTATGACTACTAAACGACACGATGTGTTCATTTTACAATGTGACTTGTTTAGCAAGATAGGTAGATGACTAAATTCACAAAACTAGGAAGGATTATCGGATTTGTCTAAACTCTAAAACAATTCACACTCTATCATGTTCTCCCTTTCCGTCATAAAATTTGTAAACATTTGTAGTTCTTCTTTTTCTGAAGAACGAAAAGTTTAAAACACTTTGACATGCTTTACGTATTACGTGCCCATTGAAAATGAGAATAAAAATTTAAGAAATTTCATAACAATAATTTACTTTAGCTATCCTTTAAAAAATCTAATATGTCATTTTGTTTTAATGCATGCCATGATCATTGTGAATGGAAGGACGATGAGAATAATATATTGCTCTTTAGAATGATGTTCATTAAAGAGGAAAAAATTTATCCGTTACATTTTTTGAGGTGACTAATACTTTTAATCTAATCATATGCTTCATTAATTCTATGTAGTAATTTTTATATGATGCAAGATAATTACCACAGTAAACTGCTAAATTAGTTACAAGAAAAATGTTTTATAGCCTCAAACTATTGATTAGCTTTCTTGACTATTTGTTAAATCAAATGAATATGAGGTGTTTTCATCGACACTCTAACTTACGTATTATCTGTTGATAAAGATGATGCACCATGTTGTTCCGCTGCAAGTGCTGAAACAAATATGGATCCACGCCGTGGTTTAACAACTGCTGGAATTTGTGGAGATGACTGAGATTCTTGACTCGAAGATATCGCATCGTTTGATGGAATCACTTTTCTAAGAAATACAAAAAAACAAAAGAAACCCAGTTATAACAAGTAAATATATTTGATAGAAAGTGTAATCTCATCCTAATAATCTTTCATTACAATGAAGCTTATCCAAAAAATTTAACTTGTCTTGTTATTTTATTCCTTGAATTCATATGTCGATCTAAGCTAGACCATCATTGGAAACATGGAACCACTGAACGGCAAATTCATTCTAGTATGGGACTCCTCAGCACTCAACCTCAGAACCTTCGGCATCGCGCGTGAATACTTAAACTCCAGACCACTAAGCCAGCATCTAACAGTGTGAATGTTTAACTCCCATTGATCCATGATCTTTCACAACCCTTCACCTATTGTCTGAGGTGGATAACTATCTCACACCTTACACGGATTGAACCCCACTGATCACGGCTTCTTACTAGAACTTCAGGAAATCTATCTTGAAGCTAGTCACTAGTAAGGACATAATTATTATCAATATTTGGATTTGTGGGGGTTGCAGCTTTTTATCAGTTATCGTTTGTGATTTTATCAGCTTTTATCATTTGAGACTGATGTATTAATCCTATCAGATAAAGTCTGAGATGTGTGATAAAACTTTCCCATGTAAGTTAAACATTTTTTCATCAATAACTGTTACTTTTCTGAATCGTCATTTAGTCATTTTTCTATTAACTATGAAAGAAAGTATTACACATTTCTCTATCATTTACAAATTGATCTTGTTCAGTAAATTAATCTGTGAATTAATTAACTCTTGTTCGATTTGTTTGCTGGTGATCTCTCCATTTGTTTTAAATAAGTAAATGCAGATTTTATATTTCTTTTTGAAAATAATCAACGCATGACCAACAGATTGAGTATTTTATGTATATTTCTTTTGTTCAATTAATGGGGAATGTAATGGTGATTATTATCTGATTTAAATGTAGTCAGAAAAATCAATAAGAAGGATGGAAAATTATATTTATTCCTTCCTACTAAAAGTCAGATTTAGGATTTTCAATTTATCCACTTCAACATATTTCTTGTTTATGGTAAATATACGTTGCATCTTCAATTAGATGATTTTAATATCATTAAAAGTCTTCTCAACCTCTAATTTTAATTAGAATAGTATAGGACTTCTTTTAAGAATGACCGTTCAGTGCTTTGAGATCTAGCTTAGATCAACTCGTGAATTCAACTGTTAAAATGCTACGATCTCCACAAATCTCCATACTAATTTAGTATATTTTGAGAACTTTTTCCCAAGTATAGTTCATTAGTATTTAATTATTAAATGATCGTTGTCTGTCTAACATTAATCCGAAACCTAGAACAATCTTTATAAACTACCATGTTATAAACATATTTATATGAGTAGTACTGACGTATTATAATTTTTAATGTTTAAACAGAACATTTGGCTTATAAGTGGTGAGTAATGAATTACATAATCTTAAATGAGCTTTTACTTAAACATTATCTTATTGTAACACTTAAAAATGATTTAAATGGTATCTCATAACATTTAAATCAATATTGCAAATCCCAATTGATAAGGAGTATCATTTAATTTCAAATAACCGCGATGTTTCTTTGTCTTCATGTTATTTTCTTTTTTAGAAAAATGATATTAAGTTTTACAGTAAAATGTAATTTCGTTCGTTCTTTTTTTATAGTGGAAATTTAAAGAAAAAAATTAATTTTTTTTTATTATTTTTTAAAAAATTTTTAAAAAAATTAATTAAATTTCATTTACATTTGATGAACTGGTGTTAGTTTGTATAATTTTATACGTTTAACTTTTTCGTTTAACATTTAAATATCCAAAAATGATTTATAATGCATTTAGTGAAAAAGTTAATGGGAAAGCTTGCATTAAAATGATCTATATAAATGAATAAATAAAGAAAACAGGAAAAAAATTGGAATGATATAAAACAAATAAGAATTGAGAATTCAGTTAACAAATATCACTTGGTAACTGTCTAATAGAACGATTAGTAATTATATCATAAATTTTTAATCTGACATACAATCAGTCCATATATATAAACCAATGTAATGAAGAATTTATATATTGACAACATTTACTGACTAATTATCAAGCTAAAAATGCATGAAGGCTGTATAAATATTGAAATGACCAATAATAACACTCCTATGAAAGCAAACAGTGTCTTTTTTAGTAGATAATACATTTGAATAATTAGGAACAACGATTTTATCAAGAACAATTCAGTTTAGCAGGCAGTTACGTTTTTTTTAATAGGGCTATTAACCTAAAATCAATGTTTCTTGGTATTGCACCATCTTTCTTCTTGTTATCACCATAATCATGTATGAATTTATACGGAAACCTTCCAATTTCATCATCTGAATAAAATATAAGTACAAAGTTGAACAGAAGCTAATGAAGTGCACGTGTATTCTGTTCCACACGTGTTTTGTTAAAACTGTCTTACCAATCAGTCGTTTTATTTTGCATAATACCATGATTTAGAAAATAAAATAATGTTCATGATCTTGAAGCTGTGAAAAATTCTACACTCATAATTGCCCTCTTGGATGATTAGTACTTTGAAGGAATGATTTTGTAATAGCGGGCATACTAGGAAACGTATCAGACCACTAAGCGAGTCGTACCATACTAGATAAATTGTACCCGTTACGATTAAAGTTCTCAGTCATTAAAATTTATGTGTGAAGACTAGAAACTTTCTCTACACAAAATATACCAGCGTAAAATATCCAAAGCTCAAATGCATCCAAGTATTTCATGTAATCAGAACACAAATATCATGACGTTTTCTGAAAATGGGTATTCTTAACCTACATCTTGTAATGAAATTAATGGATGGTATAATTAACAACTTTAAAACGGCAATAAATTTTATTTATTTATCCTTTGTATGATTGTTTACTGTTGAAACGACCAAACGTTGATGCCTCGGAATATAAATACAAATGTTTTCATCATTCATTTTAGTCAGTGACCCAATATGTTTGATTTATTAATTTTACTAAACATGGCTTTATATATATATATATATATATATATATATATATATATATATATATATATATATATATATATATATATAAGCTTAGTTTTCCGACAATAAACCATATTCCTGTAAAATAATTCAATCAGCAAATCGAAAGGGAAAACGTCTCATTATCAATCGACCATTACATCGACTAACCTCAAATCATTAGAAATGATTAACATTTGTTTCATGATTCTCTTTACAAAGTGAGTATACACTTCGATACATTTTAACACATCAGATTTCTACTTGAATTTCCTTATTCGTTTTATACTAATTGTAAGTCATACGAAATAGTTCAAGAAAAAGTATTTTAAAGTTTTTCTCAAAACAGCTACAACATCAACTAAACAAGTTTAATATTTGTTAAGACGACATTTCTGTTTAAAACATCAGCTAGTGTTGATTTCCTCACAGTAAATATTGCCTTGATAATGTATGTAATTTATTATTGGTTTGGATTCCTAATATATCGCATAGAGAGAACAGCATTAATACTTCATTAACACAAAACAATTTATGAAAATAGGTTTGTGGATATTGTTGAGTTTCATTGAAGTCATAAGTAGATCAACATTGAACCATCATTGAAAACCTGGAAGCATCGGATGACCGTTTTCTCCTCATTTTGGATCACCAGATGTGCCTGTCTGCGACACCACTTAGAAATTCAACCACTATCTAACAGACTCAGCGTCTTCACCAAAAACCAAAGGTCCTTGGTCCGATACTCGCGAGCGGAGTGGTAGATGTGCACCACTGAAAAGTCCCAAACTAAAACAAAACGTCCTTTAAATGTGGTCAAACGTTGAGCGGTTTATGATTTGAATGATACTATTTTTACGTATTAATTAGTTATACACTCCTTAGATTAGAGAATCTAGAAATGAAGTTATCTAAAGGTACACCGAAGCATTGGTAGCGGTTGAAGGCAATGCATTCTTATAAAGCATCTATACTGTCGTTGACTTAACCAGTGGATATGCTTGGCCTTAATGATGAAAAGAGGATGACACATCAGCTTTCACTTCATATCTCACCAATTTTATCATTAATAAAATACTATAACCTTTTCGTAAACTCACTTTCTCAATAATAAAATGTATTATTTTGTACAATATTGTATAAGCGCTTAAGACAAGAAGAAGGATAAGTAAACTAGTACTCGGGAATTAATATCATATTTGTTCCATCAAAAATTAGGCGAACTATACTAATGTCAAGTATACTCATCTACTGAACAGTAAATTAGAGGTCAGGTTGAATGTTAATTATTAGGTTTAGTGATAAGTTCAACTTGATTCACACCCAGACTTATGTTTCGTGCTAGACAGCACCCACCATAAATAGCCGTCCTAATGTCAGATGTGTACGACAAATAACGTATTCGCTTCAATACTAATAACCCAATATCATAGAACAAGTAAAAAAACTACCTGACCCACTACTTATTCATGATTTCTGTTCAGAACATGCTGCCAAAGCAGGTGAGCAGATAAATTTCATAGGATAGAACGAACTACTTTTAAATATTTAAGTAGAACATATTCACTATCGATATTTGCTTTACATTGTTTTCTAAACGTTAAAGTATGATTTGAATTTTAAAGTCCAATTATAAGTGACAAATCTTATTCTCATTATATCAATACATGCGAGTTCATTTCATAGCTTCATATTTCCCTTTACCATTTTTCATACGTTTTCCAATAAGCTGGCTACGAGAATTGACTATTTACGATGAAGTGTAATGTTTAGCATGAAGGATTTAGCTTGGTCAAAGATGATAGATTTTGATAATATTGTAAATAATGAGCGCGAAGTAGTAAGGGACTTTCATCAAACGAAAGCATAAACTCAAAACAACAAAAAAATAAAATAACAAAATCCTATGTTACATAAACTTTCTTTGAAAGAAACTAATCACCAATGTCAAGAATCTTGATTCCTTTTATTGCTTACAATAACT